CCCCCCCATTCATTTCATTTCTATTTCACGAACTACCTCCCGGGACACTGACTTTTGGTTCTGTTTTGATATTACAGAAGAGGCCAGGCCACGTGCTAAGAGTTGAGCAATGATGTTTGGAATCTACTCAAGGTGCTGCAGAGTATAAAGGGCACTGGATGGAGGGTGCAGAATGTCAGGATCTGGTCCCAGCTGAGACTTAACAGATTCATTCGAAGACACCTTTAAATTTAAAAACTCTGATTCTAAAAACTTTGAGATCCTTTATTTATAAACAGGACCATAAAACACAACATATTTTTTTGAGAAATATCTGCATAAACTGTTCATATTCAGAATATTTCCTATAAGTACTTTACACTTTTAAAACAATGTGCCACTTATAGATGAGTATTTCCATTTTCCAGGCAGCTGCCAATGCAGAGAGCAATAAGCTACTTGTCGCACTTATAAACAATGAAAAGGAGTGGCTTTTCCAAATCCCACAGTGGAAGCAGCATATTTTAAAGGAAAATATGTGCCTAACTTAAAATTTATTCTATAGACATAACACTTTTCCATGAGAAATACAGATGTCACCTTTCTGTAAATTTTTAGTTTAGCCTCAAGTTTGATTCCATACTTATTTTTTTACTCTTAGGACTTTACAAAGGATCCATTGATTTTCAAGATTTTGCTTGTCTTTGATCCGCTCACTGTTCCAATAGTAATGTTGTTATCACTGTGCTAGTTTGAACCAAATCAAATTGTCAATATCCAACCATTTTTCCTACAAAATGAGAATTCCATATACTGTAACCATATGTTTAATAATCGGCAGTAGAGTGTTTTGGGGAGCCCTGGTTTGTAGTATTTTCTCATTTTTGTGACGTCAATACTGCCATCACGGCCGATTTCAGGCTAACAACACGATGGATGCCACTGAATACAGTCTCACGAGCTGGCATTTAGCAGGCCCCAACACACCACTGGGTTACACCTAACAGAGATCAGTGACAACATTTCATCCACAAACTTCCATTGAAAAATCTATGGCATGGCACAGATTTCCCCACTATACGTGACAGGAGACAGTTTTAGGTTGCCCATCAAGAGTAATGTCTGGCTCTTCAAAGCTACTCCTCTGGCCTTTTAGTGTTTGCTCATCACGGATGTAGTTATTTATAAATAGCTCTCATTTAAGAAGTATTGATGGAGGCCATATCTATTCTGAGCCAAATTTTCTGACACCACAGAAATATAAATTTCAATTGGCTTTCAGGTCTCTGTGGCAGTTTCAGTACCATAAAAGCAACCGTGAAGACAGAATCATGAAATCCAGTGCCTCAAAAGCAAAAGGCATTTCTGGGTGAAAGGACAGCTTGAAAAATAAATATACAGGGTATTTCCCCTATAAAAACCTAACCCTGTCAAGTCCAGCAGGGCAAGAGAAGATGTGATTTTCTTTGATGTCCCTTGTGTCTAAATCTGGGAGGCAGAGCAGCAAGAACGTGGGGGTTGGAGGTAAATAACGTGACTGCATGTAGTCCAGCTCTGTCACCTGGATCACAGGGACTGCGGGGTAGAGGGAAAAGTTTCCACAGTGAGGAGTTTACTGCAAGAGTCCAGGTGACATTTGCTGGTGTCCTGTACTGAGACGGTAGCCGGGAAGGAGGCAGGAATAGATCAGGCTCGACATATTTTGAAGGAGATCTGCAGGACGTGCTGACTGGGGCTGGTGTGGGGAACAGCGTTTCCATGGAAAATACGTGGGGGGAGAGGGCAGAAATTCGGCAAAATGTTAGCAACTGGCGAGTCCAGGTGAAAGGCACAGCGTGAGGTGCTGGGAATTGCTGAAACGAATAAAATGCCCCTTCATCTCTCCCTGGTTTGTGTCTCCCGTGGGAGGTGCGAGGATTTTTTGCGTTCTTGGGCTGAGCAGGGCCGCCATCAGCTGGCTTCTGTGGCCCTGATGTCTCGGGTCACTGCAAGATTAGTATGTCCTTGCTGATCCCAGCCTTCGTTTCTAACAAGCAATCTTTGAATTAGTGACAGTGAGAATATACTAATGCTTTACATTTATTTGACTTTTACTGTGTTCCAAGCACTATATTAAGTGCTTTTACATGCATTATCTCACGTCTCTACAACTTTCCAGAAGAAACTGAAAGCCACTTCGCTTGTCAGTGGTAGAGCCAAAGCCCATACTTTTAAAGCACCACTATACTCTCTAAGCTCCTCTGCCAGGAGAGGAGACTGCTGAGATATTTAAGAAGCATAATCTACAGGATTTGGCAAACTGGTATGTTCCTGGGGAAGGGGGTAGAATTTTACTTTGAGATATTAAAAATTAAATAATCTTCAGGTCTGATCATGATTGTTACCATCTTTCTGCCAAAAACATAAGTTTTTACGAGATCTGCTTTGGCTGTAGGGTGATCACCTGCCAGTAGAAAAGAACATTCTTTGTACCTTTAATGTGACAACATCCCAGTGACATAAACTCCTTGAAAAGGTCTGACTACACTTAAAATCAATAGCCGTGTGCCTTTCACCTAAATTCATCGATTATTGACATTTTGCCAAATTTGCTTTCTCTCTCTGTCTCTCTCTCTCACGTATTTTTTTCCAATGAAAAATCTTGAGCAAGTTGCTGGCATTGCACAAGGCAACTCCTAAATACTTCACCCCTAAACACGTGCACGTGTATGTCCCAAGGATACGGACACTCTCCTACAGAGCCCACAATTACATTATCAACCTCCAGAAATTCGATGTGATTCAACAACATTACTTAATAAGTAGCCTATATTCAAACTTCACCCGAGCTGTTATAAAAACAGGTGCAATGAGTGGAATAAACTAACTCCGGCCCCAGCATGGTGAGAAACTTGCTTTGTGAGGGAGTCTCAGTTTCCCCATTTGCAGGCAGGTGATGCTACTACTCTCCTCTCTGGGTGGTTTGAAGCAACAGCGAGTGACCGACTGCCCTTTGCAAAGTCACCCTACTGCACAAACACAAGGGAGGCTGAAGGATTAGGAAGCTGCCTTGGCGCTGGTGCTTCTCAACTACAGAGAGTTAGAAGGTTTCAGGGGTCAAAGTGCAGTGCCCACTGTCCCAAAGGCATTCTTCAAGTCGCAATATACATTTGTAAGGATACACATTTTCCTGCCTTGGGACAAAAGTTATTTTATGTTTTACTTTTTTTTTTATCCTTGCCTGAGGATATTTTTTCCATTGCTTTTCAGAGAGTGGAAGGGAGGGGGAGAGAGAGGGAGAGAGAGAGAGAGAGAGACACTGATGTGAGAGAGACACAGCCATTGGTTGCCTCCCGCACGCACCCTGACCGGGGCCAGGGATGGAGCCTGCAACTGAAGTATGTGCTGTTGGCTGGACTCGAACCCAGGACTAATCAGTCCACAAGCTGACACACTAACCACTGAGCAAAACAGGCTAGGGCCGTTTTACTTTTTAAAAATTAAAAATTACTCATTGCAAAAGTTAAAATGAAACAGAAGTAATGAAATAAAAAGCAAAGCCTTTTCCATTCCCCTATACCAGTTATTTCCATTCTGAGGGAAAAATAAAACACAGGTCATAAAGATGTTATTTTTTTCTGAGTTAGCTCTTATAAGACAGCTTCTCATGACTGTCCTCAAGGCCTCCCAATCTCCAGGCTCTCCAGCTTCTAACTTACCCTATCTATCCTCAGAAGAGTTATTTTTCTAAAATTCAAATGTGATTCCGGCACTCCCAAAATTAAACGCTCCCAGTCCCTAAAGGTAAGGCCTTAGTGTCACCAGCTATCCAATCTCATTTCCCATCCCTCTCCCATGTTAACCTCCAACGACACCCCAGTCCTGCCTTTGCACAGGCTGACCTCTCCTCCTGGACCCCTCACTCTGCTCTTCCACTAAGTGTCTAGGCTTCCTGCAGATCCCCGCTCAGGAGTCTTCTTTGTCCCTAATGCCTATGGGACAAAGTTAATCCTGCATTCTGTGTTTGCTGAACCTTAAACATGTCTCCTCTAACACTGAATTCACACTTCTACAATTATGTATCTACATAGCTCTTTCTCCTACTCCACTGTGGCTCTCCTAAGGACATACCTGTTAGGTAATCTTTGTTTCCCCAGTGTCTGGCATTATTTTGGTACCTAGTTGGTGCTTACTAAGTGCTTGCTACACTGATTCTAATTTGCAAACAGCTTATTCACGAAATAAAAGAAGTTAGCAATTATTTGAAATACAGATTGATTATCCAAGGCCACTGAGTGGCCACTGGTCAGTAATATTCAAATTTCCCACCATCTACTTACCTAGGGTCACCTTCTCCTGGGCTCACCAATGACGTGTGGGGTAGAATCAATGACAAGGACTGGATTTTAGGTTATTACTAACATGGCCCTGGGATTTTAGTAAGGCTGAAAGCAGAGGGTTTAATGAAGTACCTGATGGAGGCAAAGGGGAAGTGCTCTTGAGTCCATCTGCTCAACCTCCCCTCGTATAAGTGAGAACAGAGACTGCAAAGCCAGCTTCGGGGCTTCTGGTGGATCATTAGCATTTACTTCAGCGGCCTCTCCATCACCCACGGCGCGAGTGGCTGCACCGAGGACATTTTCCTGCAGTAAAGGTGTTGAATCTTCTGAAGGAAGTCCTTTAAGTAGTAAAGAGAATGCCTGTGTTAGGACAAGTTTCCATCATGATGGAACACCTTAAAACAATTATGCCTGTTAACAATAAATTTTCAAATAAAACTAATTATATGAAAACCTCCCAGAAACCACAGTTATTGTTCTGATTAAGACTGTGCTGTCATTTGATTGCTTCTATTAAGCACACACATAAACCATTCTTTGCAGAGTTCTAATGAAAAGTATTAATAAAAATAGATCTAAGTAAAAGTATGCAGGTTGAAACCTGACGAAAGACTTGACTGTCCCAAAGAAAATATAGATTAGCTGTAATTTGAAGTCCTAGCTTGCCCCAAATGAAACACAACTGAACAGGAAGATAAATGTGCTCATCATATGAAACTGCTGGCTAAAGAGTTAAGTTTTCCTCTGTCAACTCTGGCCTGATAACTTTAGAACCACTTCTGGATCCCAGAAGAGCAGCAGCAATTCAGATGCCAGAGCTAATGGCACAGAAACATTTTTCCTAATAAAAAGAAGTTAAGTAATACAAACTTCTGAAAAGAAAAAATCATCAATAAATGAAAGGCTTGGCCCACAGCTCCTGAAATGATGTACAAAATTTAAAAAATTTAATCATCATAAATTCAACCTTCACCAAACAGAAACTCTATACCCACAAAGCACTAACTTTCCATTCCCCTCCTCTTCCAGCTCGTGTTGAATTACCACATTGACCCGGCAATTCCATTTCTATGTATATACACAAAATAGGTATGCTTCTAGGTCTGCAAACAGTCAAACAGATACATCGATGCCAATGTTCACAGCAGCACTATTCACATTTAGCCAAAAGGTGGAAATGACCCAAACAGCCATCAACAGATGAATGGATATACAGAAGGTGGCATATACATGCAATGGAATACACGCTGCAATACAGATGGTCCTTGAAGACACTGTTAAGTGAAAAAAGCCAGACGCAAAAAGGACAAATATCCTATGATTCCACTTAGATGAAATATCTAGAAGAGGCAAATTTATATAGACAGAAAGTAGAACAGGGGTTACTGGGGGCTAGGGAAGGAAGATTGGGAGTTATTGCTTAATGCTTACAGAGTCTCTCTCTGCTTGGGGTGATAAACTTATTTTGGAAATAGTGGTGATGGTTACACAACATGTAATTAACACCACTGAACTGTATACTTAAAACTGGCAAATTTATATATCTATATTACTGCAATAAAAAATAGAACAAAATGCCTTCACGTTTGTGATTTCATGTTATGATTCCTTGAACCGCTACATCCTTGAATTCCTCAAACCAACTTTAAAAAAAAATGCATCTTTATTGATTTCAGAGAGAGGAAAGGAGAGGGAGAGAGATAGAAACATCAATGATGAGAGAGTCATTGATCGGCTGCCTCCTGCATGTCCCCGACTGCGGATCGAGCCCGCAACCCGGGCATGTGCCCTGACTGGGAACCGAACCCCGATCTCCTGGATCCTAGGTTGATGCTCAACCGCTGAGCCTCGCCCGGCCGGGCTCCTCAAACCATCTTACTCGTCTATGCTGATGAATATCTTGGCCATAATTTTGGGAGACGGACCAGAAATAAATGTTAATACATGGTTTATGTAGTTCCTATGCTAGCCCGTCTGTGGTTTACTCCTTTGTTCCTCCCCCATTTCATTTCTCTAAGGTTCTACTTAGTATCATGAAAACACAGAGGAAGGGGCTCACCATTTAAATATCTTCAATCCTTCGCCAAATATATTTAAGTGGTAAAAAAGAAACTAGTGATATGAGTGAGATCTGAAAACGAGCCAATCTCCTTGTGACCTCACCTGGGGTCGAAGGGTATCTTACATAATGAGGGCGTAACTACCATTTGCCCCACGTGGCACCTGCGGCACATTGTCCTCTGGTGCCCTCAGGTCGGCCCTCAGGGGCAGCAGAGCAGGTCTGTGGTGAGGAGCACCGGCTGCAGTCACCCTGCCCTGTGACCTAAGGAAAGTGACCTGACTGCTCTCAACCTGGTTCCTCATAAACTAATGGCTAAAAACCTAGTTAAGTAACATACACAGTGCACCCATCTATAAGCCTAACTTCGTAGTTAAGGGCTCTGCCTCCAGCCACATGGTCCTGAACTCAAAGACCATTATTTATTATCTCCTCTCATGTGAAAGGCTCACTTAGGATACACACTTGTTTGAGTATCCTATACTTCATATTTAGGGCAGTCACGCTTTTTTTTTTTTTTTTTAAATCATGGTACTTAGAGCTATTCCCTCATGTTCCACCCCTTTCTAGAGTATGCTCCAGGCTCTTTTCATTTCATATTGAAGGCACAATTAGTATATATTAATATTGCTGGAATTTAGACTCTACATTTTGTATAATATGCCAACTAGCACCAATGTTTGGATTCCCTAAATTTCCTCTTAGAAGTTTGATTAGACATTTTACACTTTAACATGTTTTATCAAATTTTAAAAATATGCAAGGGATTTCCCTAAGCATGCAATTAATTCTGCTAATTTTTCAATTTCTTATCGAGGTCTACAGAAAATTCAAGTATCAAAGTTTCAAATGCAATTAAAATACATTGTTTTTCCACTAGATGTACGCTAACAGCTTTGCTAATATCAAAATGGCTAAATTTTACCATATTTTTCAGTTCATTCCAAGCATACTGAACTCATCAGCTATCAGATGAAAAATATTCCTTGGTTCTCCAGGACAAATAAAATTCTCAAACTTTATGTGACCTTATATAAATTATATGATCTTCTTATAAGCCTGAAAATATAAATATTGTTTCTCTAACAAATATAAAGGCATATATTTATGGCCAGCTATAAACTGTGGTTGAAGCCAGATCTGTAAAATGCAAATATGCCTTGAGGATTCATACTTCACAGCATTACCAGTTTTTACTTCAGTATCAGTTAACATGCCAGCAGGCATGACTAGGATGGCACTGAAAATATGTTTTTAGGAATAGAATAGAATAGAATTAGGGGAGAGAGGGGCAGGGATAGGTGAATCGAAAAAGAGAGTATTAACAAAGACCCTGGGGGAAAGGTACTGACAAAAGACGTTAAGATGAATTTAGAGTCAAATTAAACAAATTTCTTAAGTTTGCTGAATGCTGCGCCTAGTCATGCTACTTAAAACTCATCTGGTGACACACGAAAAGACAACTACCATTGAGAAGCACCTACTTTATGCTGGGTACTTTACAGAGTGCTTCACACTCAGGAGTGCTCATTTTAAGGACAATTCTGCAGGACATGTAGGATGAGCCCTCCCACACATAAGGAAAGAGGTTCAGGGAAATAAGTTACTGCTTTTCTAGAGTCACATAGGAACAGGTAGAGCCAATGTTCAAATCCGAAGTCTTGGTTCTTCTCATTACACAGCCTGACTTCAGGACACTGATCCATTTCCAAGGTTTGTTTTCCTGGCTTTCAGGCCCTCTTTGTCACCTCCCAGTGGCCGCACTGAGAACAAGTCTGGGCACTGAATAGTGTCAAAGTCTGTCTGGAAGGGTCTTCCTTTCTCAATTTGCATCTGCTGCCTATCTCTGGCTTCCTGCTGTTTACCGAACTGTTTTTGTCAAATGTTTAGATACTATGGTGACTGAATAAATAACTGAAGTAAGTCGTTATGGCAACCATCAGGAACTTAATATAAACTTGTATCTTACAACCATTCAAAATTCATGCCCTAGCTGTTGCCAGGGGATGGGTGGTGGGGAAAATGGGGAGTGCCTGGGTTCCTTTTTTGGGTGATAAAATGTTCTAGAATTAGATGGTTGTACAACTTTGTGAATATACTAAAGCCACTAAATTGTACATTTTATAAAGTTGAATTTTATGTCATGCAAATTACATTTAAGTAAAAAAACAACTGTAGCTATAATCAAAAGAGACAGATGTTACCAAGTACTGGAGAAATGTGGAAAATTATAACCCTCATATATTGCTGGCAGGAGTGTAAAATGGTGTAGCCACTTTAGAAAATAGTTCGACAGGTCCTTAAAAAGTTAAAGTTACTTTATGATCCAGGAATTCTACTCCTGTGCATATACAACCCCCCAACATGAAAACATGTCCACACAAAAACTTGTACACAGATGTTCACACGAGCATTATTTATAATACATGTAGCCAAAAAGTAGAAACAGCCCAAATACCCAGCAGCTGAACTAGGTAAATGAAATGTGACATATCCATGCAATGGAGTATTATTTGACCACTGAAGGAATAAAGTACTGAACATGCTACAACATGGGTGGATCTTGAAAACATTACGCTAAGTGAAAGAAGCCAGTCGTAAAAGGACATACATTGTATGATTCCATTTATATGAAATGTCCGGAGCAGGCAAGTCTACAGAGAAAGGAAGTGGATTAGGAGAGCTGGGATGGCTAAGGGGGAAAGGAGAGTGACTGCTAATTGGTATGGAGTTTCTGTGTGTGGTAATGCAACCAAGTCTCAGTCCTCAAAAACATCACAAGATCAGATTAGAGAGGCACAGTCAAGTTGCCCTTGAATTATACAGACTAAATCAATTTATATACAAATAGTACTGTCTGTATCATCTGCTAATTTAGGTCTTTTAAGAAAATGCTCTCATATCTCTTGTCAAAATTATTTTAATTTGCTTTGAGTTTACTAAGGAAAAGCAAAGACAAAGGGACCAACTAACTGAAGACTGAAATTATGAGTTACATTAAAAAGTTATCAAGTTACCTTATAGAATCAATAAAGATGGATTTGTAGAAACTGGAAAGTTTCATCTTTTACTCCAAATAAAAAATACAAATAAAAAACAAGATTATGGACAGATGGACTATATATCTTTAATGAGCCAGAGAAGCAGAAGAGAGCCAATGAGAGGAGACAGTGCACTGGCCTGGGTAAAGCGATGCTGTACTAAGGGGTCTCAGTGTAGGATGCACCAGAACTCTCTAGTCCCACGTTTCTAATCAAAAACAACCAGAGGCTGCCTTTTTCCAAGGCTGCCCTGTCGTTCAGGCAAAATAGTCCATAGCTCCGAACTTTAATTGCCAAACCACACACCCAATAAAATATATTCTGAATTGCATGTAACTAAAGTGATTATAGACAATTAAAGCCGATGCCTTGTTCAACACTACGTGTCAATGTATACTATTTACCTACTGAGTGAGATGGAGAGATTCTATAGAGAGGCTGAGTAAGACTGTACAAGCACATAAACTCACAGGTTAGAGATCAAAGCCACAGTGATGCCAGAAGGAAATTTTTAAGGCTGAAAATGGTAGAAAATGGATTTGCATGTGCAGCTGAAGAACTAGCTCTGGAATGTATCAGAAGAAAAGCACGTTGCAGGACCAGATACACAGCATGGGACTGGAAGATTTATTTTCAAGGACTAATAGTAATTAAAAAAAAAAATACCTGGTGGTATCTTCTTGGCAGCGCCTTTTTTGGTTCTTGAACTTTTCCCCCCAGGTATTCTTTGGTCCTTTCCTGAGAAGTCCTGCCCATCGCTGGGGCCTTCACAAGCAGCGTTTTCCGAGCTCTCACTTGCCGCCACCTCACAGCTCGGGGTGCAGCTTTCATTGTTGTTGAGACTGTCCTGCTCGGACACGCCGGGCTTGCCCATGGCACTGTCGCTGCTGGTCAGACGATCACGCCCATCCCCGTCGAGTTGATTTTCATTTTCGTCTGATGCACAAGGCAAGCGAGACACTACACTTTCCACACTGTCACCAGGATGACACCCATCTTGTGGTTCTATCTGAAGATTACATGCAGGCGGTTCACTGTCATCCATTAGAGCATCTTTTGTTGAGTCATTTAAGTTTCATTAAAGTCCTTCCATGTCTACAATGACAAAAGGAGAAAAGCTACTTTATTTTCTAAATTCTGGACTCTCAGTGAGCTTTCATGTTCCTCTTCTCTTGGGCTGATTGACCGTAAGCAGGGAAGAGCAGGGAACGACTGGAGCTCACTCCTGCTACCTCTTTCCCACCCCCGCACCCATCTCACCCACCAGGGTTGCACGTTTATTACCTGTGGAGCTTGTCCGAGTCTGTCCTGAATCTATTAAATCAGAATCCCTGTGGATTGAGCCCGGAGATTATGTATTTTTAAGTTCTCTAGGTGACTCTAATGTCCATCGTGTTGGGATCACTGCCTCAATGAAAGACATTACTGGTTAAATGAGGTTATCTGCTAAAATCAGTCACTCGTATTATCAGGCACCTAACCAGACAAGTGAAAGTTAGCTGTTTAAGTTCTTGTCTGGCCAAACACCGGCAAAACTTGCAAACGAAAACATTGAAATATAGTTCAAAATAAATTGAAAGAGGCATGTGGGGGAAAATTCAGGTAGCATATATTTATACTATATTCTCATTACATCTTTTACTTCTTGAAAATAAGCCCTGGAAAAGTGCCTTAGAACTGTTAGCAAATTCCTCTTATACAATTAAAAAGAGAGAGAGAGAGAGAAAGAGACAGAGGGGCATGATTAACTCTAGCCTATCTAGTTTAAACTTGAAAAAATCTAAATCTGTTCCAAGGATCCTGCTAACATTTTACAGATCTACAAAACAGATCACAAGCTCTTTATCAGTCACGTTTAATTCCCTCTTATCAAAAAGTATATTATATTTTAAGCGAAAAGATGCCAGCCAGATTTAGGTTTATTTTTATGCTTGCCAACCATTCTTTTGGGTTTGAATCAAATATAATAATCCAGCAGTTCTGGAGAAAACACTAATAGAACTTTAAAAATTCATCTAATTAATAAACATGAAAAGGAAGTATAAAATATATCATCAACTCTGTACTGATTGTATCATATGCTTTCAACATGTTTTGCAACTGGAATACTTTATTTTAATTCAGACAGAAAAGTACTGCTTGGCAAACACAAAAATATCTAAATCTGGCTGGTATCATCTTCCTGAAAATATATATACTACATATCTCTACTGAGAGGCATCAATATAAAAAGCCACATACACTTTAAAAGTATTTGAATTTGACTTCCCTCATGATAGTGATGTTGAAGACCTCATAAAAATAATAACTATGTTTTTCATTAAAAATTATACTCTATTTAGAATTTCTCTTAGGTCTACACTAAGTTATCCTAGTCCAGTTAAATCATTTTACTTTTTATATTGCAAGACACAAAATGAAAACCACTGTATGATTCCACGTACATGAAATATCTGGACGGGGCACATTCAGAGACAAGATGAATGAGAAGTTACCAGGGGCTGAGGAAATGGAAGTTGCTGCTTTCTGCTTAGGGTGACGGAAAAGATCTGCAAACAGATAGTGGCCACGGCTGCGTGACAATAGGAGTATAATGAATGCCACTGAACTGACGACTGCAAAATGCGTGAAATGGCATATTTTATGTTATATATATTTTCCCACAATAAACGTAGTGAAGTTTATATGGCTATGTAGGATAAACATCAGTCCTTAAAGCTGATAACAGCCTGTTATTTTCTAATTTAAATAATCAAGGCATATTCTACATGTATTTGCAGTTGAAAAGTATAAAGGTTTTACTGTGACCTGAAAGAGACGCATAGGGTCACGTGCCAAGGGGGACGGCGGGAAGTAGAAAGTAGCCTAGAGAGCCCCAAACCGTAACAATCAAGTCTTGCTGAGTCACTGCCATGCGTTAGAAAGTGTGCCAGGTACTTTATGTGCCTTATTTCTAATCCTCCGAACAAGGCTACATGGGACATACGCATTCTGTGTTTTAGATGAAGGCTCTGAGGCTGAGAGAGGCAAAACGACTTGTTTGAGATCATGTTCCTGGAAAGAAGTGGAACTGGATCTGAAACCAGGTCTTCCTGATGTGAATCTCGCGCAGGGCAGCGTAATGGCTGGGAGCAGAGGCAGGCCGAGGCTCAGATTCTGGCTCTGCCATTGAACAACTGTGTGTGACCTCGGGAAGTGACCCACAATCTCCAAGCTTCAATTTTCTCATTTGTAAAAGAGGAGAATTTTAATACCTGCCCAGTAGTATCATTTTTGAGGCTTAGACAACACGGCTGGTAAAGCACTTGGCAGAGTGCTTGGCCCACAGTAAATGCTCAATGGAAGTCAGCCACTATTACTTCCAAAAAATTTCCAGGTCAGCATTAAACACTGGTAGGTTTACTCAAGCAGATCCGTAGCCCTTTGTGGGTTCAGAAACAGCACTTTTCCAAACCTCCCAGGAATAACTGGGTTCTTGATGACAGACTAAGGTTAACCAGCAGCATCTGAGAATGCTCGGAAGTATCCATTTATGATGGGGATATCAGATTTAGCTCCTGGAATGCGTAAGCGCCTGTTCTGCACACCGTTTCAGATGATTCAGATATCCAGAAATCAGTGATTAAGGGTCCTTGGTGAGTATAAAATTACACAGCACATCCGCAGCTCTGTTGAGTGTCATGTACTAGGCCCTGAGTAAAACTCTTCAGACCAATACTTTTATTCAATTTTCATAATTACTTAGCAGATAGATAATTTTAGCTCCATTGTACTAATGGAGAGACCAAGTATCCTATCTTGTCAAGAGTGATTCAGCTGGAAGTTTAGAAATGGAATTTGAATGAGTGATGATCCTGAGGCCATATTCTTGAACACTATGCCCGATGGACAATGGGGAGAAAGTAACTGAAAGAATATTTCACTCCGGCTGAGATACACCCCAATGAAGAATCTCCACCCTACAGCAGAAGACACATTTCTAATGACCAAGAAATTGAAGTTCCTGGAAATTTCCTCTTTCCCTGGAAAGTGCTGGATCCATACAACACACCATTTCTTACATAGCCTACCTTCTCCTGTTGAAAACTACTTAAAATATATATCCTAATATACCATTTAAGTGGCTATTACCAGTAAAGGAGGTGTTCGCTCCTTTGGGCCTGAAGACATTCTGCCTATTATTTTTTAATGACATAATTAGCTTAATTCTCAAAAGGTAACTTTGTAAACTACTTTTTAATACTGACTCTTAAGGTCTTTCCAAGGTGTTAATGTCTTATAATTATTTTCATAAGAGACCTTCCAGTTCTTCAAGTCCTGGCTCAAAAGTCACTCCAATTTGCTCACCCTGACCTCTCCGTTCCAAAAGACCCATATAAGAGTGTACTCCTCTCGAGCAGTCTGTTCCACCAAATACTGCCCTACATTGGATGTTTTTGCATATGTATCAAATGTAAGCCATTTGAACACCCATAACCCAGCCACAGATAACTTTCATTCTTTACGATGTCTAGTTTTGGGTCTTGTACTTACAGATATATGAAGTAATAAGGGAACCAATTTTCTACTGTTTCTCTCTTAAAAGGGCAAAGTCAGGAACACGGATTCCCATCCACTCCCCACCCCTACTCTGAGGCGTAAAGGGACCTCTTTATTATACAATATTTGGCTTCTGTCTGCATCCCTAACACGCTTCAATGGGAATATTTTAATTTAAGCAATGCGATAACTTCCTGAATGGGACTGCTGCTCGGTATAGTCCTACTGCTTTTGGAAACAGTCACAGATGTTATTTTTGTCTCTTCTGTCTCCTCTCTTCCTCTCCCTCAATGCTAGACCAACACTATTTTTATCAGCCTTTTAAAAAACGCATGCAATAGTATGAAAAATATGATAAAGTCAAAAGGTGGATGTCCCGGTGCGCCTGTAACTCACCGTAAGAACTCACTCGGGCCCGGCCGGGCGTGGCTCAGCGGATGAGCATCGACCTAGGATCCAGGCGATCGGGGTTCGATTCCTGGTCAGGGCACATGCCCGGGTTGCGGGCTCGATCAATGACTCTCTCATCATTGATGTTTCTATCCCTCTCTCTCCCTCTCCTTTCCTCTCTCTGAAGTCAATAAAGATATGTTTAAAAAAAAAAAGAACGCACTCGGGCAGGGGAAAATCTCCAGGAGAAGAGGCCCAGCTGACACGGAGTCTTTAAAAGTGTTGCTAACATGGTGCGGGGCCTGGAGCTGGGAGCAGCTGGCATGGCATCCAAGGCTATTTACTGTTGTCTATTCTGTGCGAGTCCCCATGTCTCTAACCAATTCTCACAAAAGAAACAGCACCACGGCGCTGATTCCGGCATATTTTGCCTTTTAAAAGCATGGCAGTGAGTGATGCTCAAGTTTCCAGCCTCTTGTGGCAAAATAGCATTCCAAATATGTCCGTTGAATAAAAGTTATTAGACATGTTGACTCCGTACAGCTGAAGAATGCCTGGCAAACACACTGAAGTGAGGCTTACAAAAACTCGAAAACCACAAAACTTCAAAGAAGCTTTAAATAAACNGTACAGCTGAAGAATGCCTGGCAAACACACTGAAGTGAGGCTTACAAAAACTCGAAAACCACAAAACTTCAAAGAAGCTTTAAAGAAACAACACAGAGTAACAGACTAATGAAACGGAATCTACATTTTATCAAAAATATAATCTCAATCCCAGGTTGATTTGACTTCCTTTCTGAGACATCTTAATGTATATCTGTACACATTAAGTATAAACATCAGGTGTTACAAAAATTTTAAAATATAGGAATAGTTAAATATACAATAGTATTCGATTACTTTATTTAAATGCTTTAAGGAGATTATGCATCCCATTTTTCTGTAATTCATACCAATTAGGCCTAAATACTGTATTTTTACTTTTGAAGGAAACAAAGATTTTTAAGAACTAAGATGTAGCCCCAAGTATGAATTTGATAATTTCTAATTAAACCGAAATTTAGAGGAAGACAGTTACCAAATCAATCAGGTATTCTATTAACCCTAAATTCAAATTTGGCTACTCATAGTCAACTCAGAATTGAGGAAGAAAGTCACTACAC